TCAGTAGGGAAGCAGCCCCCCAAAAAAGGCAGCCCAAGTAGGGTGACTTCATCTTATTTCTCCCCGAGCCCCAAATAAGTTCTTGCCCAAGGCTGGAGACAAAGAAGCTTTGCGATGAATGCCACCCGAGATGAGCAGAGAAGGCGTTGGCTGGAGAACCCAGAAGCTGTCCTATGCTTAGCCATGATTAAGCGGGCCATTACCAGGGGGCCTTTTTTTCCCTTTGGGCTATATTTTCTCAGCTAATTATACAGGATGTATTCTAGATGACTTTGCAGGAATAACCACTATGCTAATTAAAACCCTGAGATTCACACCAAACCTGTTTATGGCATTGTGTGCCTCATAAACACAGACATCATTGGAAAAATAAAAATTAGTGACCAGATGGAGCAGGCTGTGTTGATGCTTAGATTTTGAAGGCTTTTGTTTGGAAAAATCATGAATTTTACATGTGATTCCCTTTACCTACCACCAAAATGCTGAGTAATTCCTGGGGAAATGGGCTGCTTGCGGTAAGAGTTGCATGACGTGTGTCGGGTTTGATCTGTCCTCGTGTGTTCCTATGAACTGTTTCTCGTCCACCAGAGGCTGTGTCCCTTGTGTTTCTCTGTGGCTTCCATGAGGATGTGGGTCCTGCAGTCCCACAGATCTGCTCAAAATCCCAGCACCACCACTTGCAGCAAGGGTCCCTGGGGATGTGTTCCTGCCAGCCCCGGGGTCCATCTGCACCTGGGAAAGACTCGCACACATCATAGGGAGCTGTGAGGACTTGGTGTGGTGGCCATTGGAAGACGGGTGTCGTGCAGGGTGGCTGTCCTGTGACTCGGATAACACGCTTTGCCCGCTCCTTCTGCCGGAGCGCCAGCTGATTCCCCCATGTTGGGTCCCGGGGACAGGCGCCCCCTTGATGCTCCCCAATAGGCCTCCTCGCCTGCACCCTGCAGGCGCCCTCTTTATGACTCTTGTGCCCTGGGAGGCTGGCACGCCTCTGTTCTGGAAGCCATGTACTCCTGGGAGCACACACTCCGCCTCGCCGCCTGCCCCAAGCCCTTGGCAGTGTCCAGAGCACGCCTGGAGCAGAGTTTAGCCTGATTGACCAAGCTGGTCTTCACAGACCAGGAACACTTAAAAAGCGAAGCTATTTCTGGCCCAGGACGTACACCCGAGGGAGTATCAAAGGGAACGGAAGACCGTAAGTTTCAAATGGCAAGAAGAGAAGGAAGCTAAAGAGAGAAGCCACTGGCCTGCCATCCTCCCCGGAGCACTCACCACCCACCCGCTGGGTACCTGGCACCATGCATGGTGTCTCAGTCTGCAGGGAGACTGTGTGGCCGCTGTGTGACTGCAATGGTCTTCATTTCCAGAGAGCAGCTGGGTGCAGTGGGCTGGGCTGGACTTGCAGAATATTCTGTACTGGTGCCTCTCCCTCGGAGCTTGGGAACGTCTCAGAGCAGAGAAAGACGTGGACCAGGAGGGACCAGGGAGGGATGTGATCACTTTTTAGCAGCTCTGGCTGCTGTGTGGATGGAGCAGGATCCGGCTGCAGCAGAGACCTGTGGGGAAGCTGTTTTGGGGTCCAGGCACAGGATGGCAGTGGGCGGCCAGGGGTGGCCGCACAGGAAGGAAGAACGGAGAGGGGACCAGTTCTTCCAGGTGCTCTTCATCTGCAAAGTGGGTCAGGTCAGCTCTGCTTTGACTGACAGATCAGGGTGGGACAAAATACAGTGCCCCAGCAGTTCCAGGTCTGGCCTTCTCGGTCCCCTGTGCATCCCCGTGGAGCTGCGTGACCTTGGGGTTGGTGTCAAGGGCAGTCACGTCTGTACCGCTCTCCTGGCATCCTGTGTTCTGCCATCCAGGAGCTCTTGTCTTCCTTCACAAGGGTCTGGAACTAAGTAGGGCAAGGACCGGTGTCCCCGTTTTTGGCCTCATTTTCTGATACCCCAAGGCCTCTCCCTGCCCGCTGTGTGGCCGCCTCCCTGCCTAGACTCTCTGCCAGCGCCTGCTCACTTGTTCCCACCTCCTCTTCCTGGGCTGCTCTCGCCTCCCCAGTCCTGTGGACGCCAACACACTGTACAAATTCACTCATCACGGGATTGGGAGGCCCTGCAGGTCCCTAGTTAAATTCTCCCCCAGCGCAGGAGTCCTCTGTGATGCCCCACACCACAGTGCTGTGAGCTCCCCGCTTCCTCCCTGACGCCTCTGCTGGGTCTGCTCTGCGGCCCCGTTCTTGCTCCCCACAGCAGTTCCCTCCACCCGGCACTGAGGTTTGTTTATTGGTCTGTTTTGTTAGGACACATGGTCTGGGTTCCTCTCTGCATGGCCCCTGGCCTTGAGCAGGTTGCCTGGCTCAGAGGTTTCAGTTCTCTGGTTTCAGTTCTCTCAGTCTCTCTCTGGTGTTGGTGGACAAGTGAGCGAATGAATGAGCAGGTCAGTGAGTGAGTGGGTGTGTGGTCAGCTCTCACCATTAGAAAGTCCTACACCTGTAAGCCCAGCACTCGGGAGGCTGAGGCAGGAAGATCGAAGTGAGTCTGAGGCCAGCCTGGGATACATAGTGACTTCAAGGTCAGCCTGAACTGCATAGCAAGACCCTGTCTCAAAAAAACAAAAACAAAACAAAACAAAAAGTCCTTTTTCACCACCAGCTGCAGCACCGCTCATGTCACCTGCACCTCTGAGCTGGGCCTTCATGGATTCCCACACTCGGGGCTGCAAGGTCTGCTTCCTGCTCTCCAGATGCACCAGCCTGCTCTGCCAAGTGTGCCCTCTGGGACTGTGCACTCTGCCCCTGGTGCCTGGGACCCTTGGCCCTGTTTCTTTCCATGGCTGAGTTTTCTTGTCATTTGGGCCTCCACTCAAATGCCACCTCTGCAGTAAGACCATCACTGGTAACTGCTTAATCTAGAGTAACCCCTTCCTCATACCTCCTTATCTCTCCATGCTGCGTCCTGGTGATTTCCTCTGATCTGTCTTTCAGTTCTCTCGGTCTCTCTCCATCTGTGTCTAGTCTACTGTCTAACCTGCCTATAGAGGTCTTACGACAGTGACTCAATTTTCAGTCCTACAATATACGCGTCAAAGTTGTGCTTGTTCTCATTTTAAAGTCCTTTCCAGAACCTGTATTCCATGTAATACCCCAAAGTGATTTTCTCCTATTTTTTGGGGGTCTGCTGACCATCTCTCAGGATGTATCTTTGTAACTGTGGCTTTTTTAAAAAAATGTATCTTTATCAGGAATTATCATCAGTGCGTGTCCCCCATGGGTTCTGAAGGTGACCCATGTTATTCATTAATTCTGGAACAGTTGCTACATTCCTTTCTTGGTGAGTGCAAGATAAATGAGCGTGTGAGTATCAGCATTCCTTGGGATGTGGGCAAAGAACTGATGATGTCTTGTGTTTGACATCATTCAGCTGCTTCTAATGACTTTGCTTTTTGGCCTCCTGCTCAGATTGGGGCATAACTCAATGCAGTGCCACTTAGATGTCAGGTGCTCAATGAGAATCTCAGATCCCTCAGGAAATAACCCCCCAGTGTAACGCAGGAGTACAGTACTGACTGCAAACAGATTCCTGAGCTCTTCCTTACAGACACTGGACCCTCGAGTCTGTGGTTGAGCCTGGTGATCTGAGGTCTTGTAAAGCTAAGTGATTCTGATGTACTGCGAAGTGTGGGTACCAGTGGTCCTCTGAGGATGGAAGATTTGAATTGGGTTTATTTTTAAACTTGCTTATTCCCTCCCCAAAAAAGCCTGCGATGCTGTGCGCAGAGATAAAAATACGTTTGGAAAAGCAGACTGGAAACACCTACACAAACAGACTAAATGAGCAAGATCTGACTTTGTGCCAAGATTGGGCCATGTGGGTGGCACTGGGATGGTCTCCTCACCGCAGTCCTTGTGGCGGGTGCGGGTGCAGCTGGGGCTGTGTGTACACTGTCACTGCGTAGCCCCGTGGGCCCCATGGACTCCGCATCACAGCCCAGCCCGCCTCAATTCTGGGACACCCCTGGAGCTGCTCAGGGATGTTGAGCTCCAAAGGGTTTTAGTTTTCCTGGGTTCCCCTCCGTAAGCTGCAGCATCCCCTGGGTGTGCTTAGAATCTGACAGCATCCACACAGGCTCCTCTTGGGAACCTGAGCCCTCTGTGCTCCTTCTGGCCTGCGCTGTCTCACACCGCATGGCCTCTGCCCAAGCTGTATTTCCCGCCCATAAAACTCCTGCGCGTCTCCTGCACTTGCCCAAATATCACCAGGTCCTCGTGTCCCTTTCTTACCTCCCTTCCATCCTTCCAGACTCATTACAGAGCCCTCACTATGTCCCAGCACTGCCCAGGAGCACCCCCACAGTCCCCCACCCCTCCTGCCGTGCAGCTCCCCTGTCTCTGCACTCCGGCTTCTTGCAACCCCCTGCTGTGCTTCTGCGTCCTCACCTCCACTCGGTCCCCTGCAGCCGTCTCACTCTGCCCTCTCTCTTTACGGCTGCAGCTGGCCTGTGCAGTCATCCCACGATTCCTACATCACCCTCTGCCTGCTGTGCAAGCCTGTAACCCCGCAGCCTGGCGCTGGGCCTGGCATGCAGCAGGTGCCTGGTAGCTCTTGGTGGACGGAGGAACAAACACATCCTGAACCTCAGTTTCTCTCTTCTTTTGGCCCAGTGGTTCTTGACCTTCTGTTGGCCATTGGCCTCTGGGTCAGGCCCGGGGCTTTGGAAACCCTTTCTGCACAAAGTGCATGGATGCTGGGTCACGTAAAGCCTCTGTGTTACATCAAGGATTCAAAACGTCCCAAACAAAAGGCTTCTGTCTGTGAATTCCAACAAGCAGATTCTTTTCTAATGAGCAGTTGAAGATTGTAGCACAGGCACCCCCAGCAGTCCTGGCACACAGAGGGAGGAGAGCCGCCCCACCGCCGGAAGCTGGTGCATGTGCACGGCTGCATGCAGAAGTCACTTGGGTTGCTAGCTTCCTTTCAGGACTAATCTCCCTGCTTTGGTTGTTGCAGGAAAGAAGACCCCAGAGAGGCAAACGCAGCCCCCTGGAGAGTGCGACAGCGCTCCCACGGGACCCGTGGAGTGGAGGTGGCCCTGTGATTAAGATTCCTTCCTGGGAGCCAAGTAGAAGCCAAATGACCATCAACCTGGCCACGCCATGTACGGGGAGCATTCCTACCTTGCGTGGTACCAACCGGGGAGCCCGGGCAATGCCTGGCGACTGTTAGAAACTGTACTTTTTGGCCCAGGGGAGGCAGGAAACTGGGGTCTGAGAACCACGCTGGCTCTGTCTCTTCCACACCGTGTCACCTTGCTCAGATCTCACACCGTCTCCAACCGTCCTGCTCTTCACCCGCGTGGGGTCCTCTGCCTGTGTGACGATTGCGCTTGCCTGACTGGGCCAGTGCCCTGGCCACAGCATGCTGGCTCCTGTGGGGCTGCCAGGCTGTGTAGGAGGTTATCTAGGGAGAGAGGAACTGCAGGCTTGACAGTTTCTCGAAGAGCCTGGGACCTCCGTGGTCGGGCACCCCTGCTCTGGGTGGAAAGGAGTCCCCTGAGGGGAACCCAGACGTCCAGCCCCGCCTCTGCCTTGCCGGCCAGCTCCCAGCCGCCCCTTGGCTTCTCTGGGCCTGTGTTCCTCACCTGTACAGTGGAGGTGACCATGTGCCTTCCTGTCCCCCTCCGACACCTGATGAGTTCACGACCTGTCCCTGTCACACCCTGCATTCTCGTCTGTTTGCTGGACTCATGCTCAGGGGCACTCTGGGGCTCTTGGGGGACCCCCCAGCCCAGCTCCTGCTCCTAGAAGACTCAGTTCTTCCCTAAACATGTGCTACTCGAGCAACTGTCTCTGATAATCACAGCACCCCAAAGCATCTGCAGCCCGCAGCTCCATCACCACAGCACCTTCTTCCCCGCAGCTGAGGAACATCGCGACCCCGTGGCTGGGGTAGATTCTTGGTGACTGCTCCCTCCAACCAGGCATTCCTGGAGCTGCAGGACTGTAAGGCTGGCTTCTGAGGGCACCCAGGGACAAACAGGGACTTTTGAGAGTTCAGCTTCCCCCAGGAAGACATGGGAGAAAGCCGGCTGCTGCCGGTTAGAGCCTCTGTGGGCTGATCTCCCCAGGTCCTCCCCGCTGTAACACAGCTGACAGTGGGAATGAGGGTGGTCGGTGGGGTCAGCAACACCTGGAGCTTTGGTCAGGAGGAGCATGTGACAGATCAGCCTCTAAGACCAGCCCAAGTCCAGAGTCCATGGCGGGAACACAGGCTGCCCTAGGGCCAGATCTGGCTCACAGACTGTCTTGTTTGCCTTCCATCTTTTTGTCGTTGTTTAATTGTGGTGAGATGTTCCTACCAGACCACGTATCATTTTGACTACTTACGTGTTCAGCTCAGTGGCATCAAGCACGGTCAAATTATTCTGCAGCCATCGCCACCACCCACGCCCAGAACGTCCTCCTCTTCCACGTCAGAACTCTGTCCTCACTAGATCCCAGCTCCTCCGTGCCCCTCCTCCAGCCCCGACAACCCCATCCTGCTTTCTTTCTCTGTGGGAGTGACTGCTCCAGAGACCTCACCTGCTGGAATCCTACATGACTGGACCTTCTGTGACGGGCTCAATTCACCCAGCATGACCCCTCCAGGTTCACCCTTGCTGAAGCATGGGTCAGAATGCCCTTCCTGCTTTTCAGGCTGCATAGTATTCTACCATACAGCTGTATCACACTCATCCATTAGGGTCACTTCCACCTTTTGGCTGGTCGTGGATAATGCCGCTGTGGACGTCAGTGTGGGCGCACCTCTGTTGTGTTTGTTAGTACCGGAATTAACACGTTCACCTTTCAAAACCAAAAGACTTCTTATAAAATCCGATGTCTGGCTTCTACCAGAAAATCAATGGGCCTGAAAACTTTGGACCCCTGTCTCCCTGGCCATGGTTGGAACTGCACCAAGTCAGCCCTCCCTCTCCTCTGCAGGGCACCCCACCCCCGGGCCTGTTCTCGGCTCACCACATAAGCTGCCTGTTCCCACTGACTGGGACTTGCTGACGCCTTCCCTGCTCCCCACCTCAGTACGGGTGATGACACAGAGGCCCAGGGAGGGACATCAGCCTGGCCCCAAGCTCCCGGGATGACGCTGACCTCACCCATGTCCTCCGGGAAGGGGCCCGGACTGGCTGCACTTGCAGCTCTGCTGCCTGCCTGTCCCGTGACCTGGAGTAGGGCCCCCAACTGTTCTGGGTCTCAGTTTCCCCTTTTGGCAGGAAGTGAGAGAGTAAAGGTGAAGACACAGAGCGAGGAACCCATTGCCTGTAAGATCACGTTGGGGCAACTGAGGCATGAACAGAGCACAGAACGAGTTGGCGCCCTGGCGTGTGCGTCTGATTCCTGAGCTGCAGGTGGGAAAGGGACCTGCCTCCCCCATCGCCTCCCCAGGACCCCTGAGGCCCGGCATGTGGAGCGTCCTGCTGGGTGCTGCCTTCCAACATTGGGACACTGCCTGAGGGCTCCAAGCCTTCCCCTTGAGAGGCGGGACTTCATGGGGGACAGTCCGGCTTTGGCACTCGGCAGCCACCTATCTGGTCTACAAAGTCCTCTCAGGGTAGATGGAGCCACAGCACCGCACTCCCCGCACCAGGAGAAATGAGAACTCCAGGCACGGGCATGCAGTATGTGCTCAGAGAAGCCTGGTTCTCTGTCTTTCTTCCCAAGCAAGGGTCTACCTCCTGGGTTAACACAAAGGTCTCTTTTCCAGGTATTCACAGATTGGGGAAGGAACAGGTGCTTTCCAGCTCCCCACGGGCTCAGCCCAGGGGCACAGGCTCTGGCCTGATGGCTGGCCGCTCACCAGGTGTCATTCATTCATGTACTCATTCACTCAACAGTGGACACTAACCGATGAGCACTGGGGCTCTGCAGTAGGCCCTGGGGTTCTGGGGGAAGGCAGAACACCAATCTCTGCCCTCCTGGAGCAGCTTTCCATGGTAGTCAAGTACTTACGTGTTCCCTTCCTGCAGGGCCGGGGTTTTGGCTGAGTGAAGTGGGGACATGGATGGAAAGGCATTTTGTAGACTCCTGCATTCTGCATAAATATATGGATCAGTGTTATTTGACTTCCCCTATGCTAGAGAGATGACAGAGACCACCTGGTATCAGAGAAAAAGATTCAGGTTCAACTCAGAGTAACGAGGCTGCAGTCTGAATTCTGCAACGTGTTAGCTCTGAGACCAGCGAGAGCGACTTCCCTTCCTCAGTTTCCTCACCCGGAAAATGGGGTAACAAATGCCTGCCTCGGCAGTGCAGTGGTGTGGACAGTCTGTATGGGAAAGCGCTCTGCAGGTTTCAGTGCTGTGCAGATTCAGGTCATTCATTCAGTTGTTACTTCATTAGGCACCTACTGTGTGCCATTTAGGACAAGGTGATGTGTCTAAAGACAATGTGGAAAAAGTCCCCAGGCTAAAGGAAAGAATTGCTTGTCAGATGGCTGTACTGCACATTCATAGATTATGATTAGCAACAACCAGCAGGTTGGCATGGCAACGTTTCCCCATGAACTGCCAGGCAGCATGCTTAAAATAGGTACGCTGGAGGTGTGGCGGGTGCTGAGCACGCAGAGGCAGCGTGGCCCGGTGGCTGTGCCACAGAGAAGGGCCATGTGCTCAGGGGTCATACCCTTGCCCTCCGAAGAAGGCCGGCCATCGAAGATCAGAAACACCCACTGTCAGAGCAGGGAAGGGCCTTAGACTTTAGCATAGATGCCTGTGCTTCCCCATTCTGCAGGGGAGGAAACTGAACCTCAAACAGGTTACTGGCAGTCCACAGTCACATGACCCAGTTCCCTGATCCTAGACACATCGAACCTGGTTCTGGTGGCTTTTATGACGGATTCCCCAGGGATGCCCCAGTGTGGTCCTTTCTGATCATAGTCCTAGGAAGCAGCTCATTTTCCAGCCGGTTGCAGTCTATGCAGTGTCACTGAGGAACATTCCTGAGTGTGAGTGGTCTTTTCTCTTGGGTAGAAGCCATTTGTGTTTCCTGAGGAAAGCCCTGAGCCCCACACTCAACTACTTCTTGGCTAGACTCATATGGTTGATTATTTTTCTGGAATTGAGGATTGAATCCACGGCCTCTGTACTGAGCTACAATCCCAGCCCCCTATTTATTTATTTACTTATTTCCTCCTTTTATTTTTTTTCTGAGACAGGTCTTGCTAAGTTGCTCTGGCTGGACTCAAACTTGTATCCTCTTGCCTCAGCCTTGGAAGTAGCTGAGGTTGCAGATCTATGCCACCACTCCGGCTTATGATTGAGGTTTTAATCTACCCCTCTGTGACCTTTCCTACCTACTTCCTCAGTGTGTGAAATCAAGCAGCAAAGCTGAGCAGAAATTTAGGAACCACTGTGATGAGATTACTGTGGGAGTCTGCTTACCCATCCCTGTGAAGGGCGGGGAGCCCAAGTTCTCTCGGTATTGTTCTTTTTGTTTTATTCAGCAATTTATTGAGCAAACTTTTTAAGCTTGAGTGGAGCTGCTCTTCCTTGGGCTGCTGAGCTTCTTTTGGAAGATTCACAGCTCTGGTTGGATTCCAGAGTGAAATCCCAGGTCTGGATTGTGAAACATCTCAAGAACTCACCCAACCTCTGAGAAGAGGGTGCTAGACATGTTTGACGTCTTTCAGACACTCGCCTGCTTCTTCTCTGTTCAGCTGTTGCCCCACAAGGAAAAGGGCAGGGAGGCTGGGGTGGGGGTGGGGGTCCCCAGCGCCCTGCTCTTGCTGCCTACCATGGCTGCAAGGGTGTTTATAGGACACGAAGATTGGATCCCACGGTGGCGATTCTCACCACAGAGCGTTTGAAAAGGCGGAAGGACGCCCCGCCCCTTCCGAGCCCCCTAACGTCACAGTCACACCAGGTCCTTCTGCAAACCTCTGTAGGACTCAACTCCACAGAACCGGCAGCCTGCAGCCCTAGCACAGTCTCTTTCACTGCACCTGTGCCCTGTGCTAATTAACCCCCCCATCCATGGCTGGTTTCCTGCGGCTTAGACTCATGTTTATTTTCCCTCTCGCTAGGAAAGAAAGATGTGCACAGGAGGAAGCTTCTTAGCTTTGGGGTATTTCTGCCCATGTGTCTTCTCTGGAGCTTCTCCCTTAGAGGCCTTTGGAGTGGGCGATCTTTTGGAAATGGCACATGTGACACGTGCTGGCCCTGGGCCCTTGGTGGCCGGTCACTACCCTACACCTGAGAGTCCACAGAGAGTGTGACTGACCCCATAGCCACACTGAGCAAGTCTCTTGGGGACCGTTGTGGCCAGCACCCCAGACTCTTCTAGAAATAGAAATTCTAGAAGCACATGTGTCAGTTGGGTCAGCAGAGGGAAGCAGATTTTCATTCAGCTCTGGCTGCATTTGCCAGCTGTGTTCCTACATGGCCCTGAAATGACATCTCCAGAGCCCTCAGGAGGCAGTGGAAGAAAACCCCCTGGGGCTTGTTGGTAGATTTAGTCATTTTAGAATTTCTAGGAAAAGATAATTCATGCATTGCACCTAAAACTGTCTTCAGTAAGTCAGTAGATGTGGGATTGAAGGATTGGGTTTTCTTTATCCCATTTGATTCTTTCTAAACCCTGCTCTACTTTCAGCAAGCACAGCTCCCATCCAAATCCACCCCTGCGTGCCTGGTGTAAACATAACTTTCAGAGTTGTGAGGAGACAAACACCATTTTTTGGGGGGATGGCGTCTCTGAAAACATCAGGCTTTGGCACTTTTATGCAATGATAGAAAAAAAGGGAGAGAAAGACAATCTCGCCCTTAGGAATGAGGTTGCTGAACATGGCTGAAAACTTGATTTTGACTCTGTCAATATATTTTAAGGTAAATTAACATAATACGGCTTTGGCCTTGTAACTATGGCATGGACAGTGACATGGGAGATGAAGGCCTCTGCACTGATGTCGGAAGTGTTAACTTGGACAAGGATGGGACCCCTCCCAGAGACAGGATGAGTGCGGGGCCACACACATCCCTGGGTTTGCACTTGGCTGTGCACATTTGTGCAGTGCACTCACACCTCTCGGCCCCTCTGTAGGGAGGGCAGGGAAGGGGTGAGCACGGGTGCTGTGTGAGCCACCACCCCGAGTCGGGGCCTGAGACGGTCTCTTCTGCAGCTCGGCTTCCGCTGGTCAGGCAGGTCAGGGGTGTGAGCATTCCTGGCCAAGGCCATGAGTAGGTCTTGCAAGTTTCCCGTGGCAGAACCTTCCTCATCTCCCGCCTCCCAGGTTGAATCCTGGCCAGAAATCACAAGAAAAGGCCGGGGATATAGCTCAGTGGCCCAAGTGTCTGCCTGGCAAGTGCAAGGTCCTGAGTTCGATTCCCGGTACCAAAAAAAAAAAAAAAAAAGGGAAAGAAAGAAATCACAAGAAAACTGTGAAGCACACACCAGTGTACTTCCCCTCTGGGTCCCAGGAGCACAATAACGCCACACCTTGAAGCTGCACAAACCTGAAGGAAGGAACCTTGCAGCTCTGCTTAACCAGCTCCGAGACAGGATTTGGGCAGTGCAGCCCAGGTGTGGCCCTGTGACCCGCTCAGCCCCCTCCCCTGGATGTTCAGCAGACCCCTCCTCGGGTCACTGGCCCTCAGCTGTCCCCAGTCTCTGCCCACACTCAACAGAGCAGTCAGTCCTCAGAGATGTTCACGGGATTCTTCAGTCTGCTGTGACTGAGGCTCAGCCTCCCTCCAGGTTTTGGAGATTTGGGCTGACTGATCGTTCTCTCTTGTGTACAGTAGGCCCGGGTTTTCTCTTGTTACCGAGATGTATTTTTCTATGTCGGTTAAATGTATACTTTGTGTAATTTTGTACATTAAAATGTATGCTTTTTCATAATTAGAGAGTCTTGTTCCTTTTCAGCGTTTGATCAGTTGGGTCTCAACACAAAGTGTTGGAAGCCCTGATGTAACACAAACACAGCGAATCCAAAGGCAGCGATGGAACACAAAGGATCGACTCCTCATTTCTGTGTTGAACACCGTACTGTCTCTCCCGTCCAATGCAGGGTGCACACATAATGCAGCGGCGCCCTTTAGGATCCCTTCTATTCCTGCATTAGTTTCCTGCCACTGTACTGATGGATTACCGTGAGTCTGTGGCTAAAGCAATGTAAAGCAGCACAGGTTTATTGTCTCTCATTTCTGGGGATCAGACGTCTGATGTGGGTCAGAGCTGGGTTTCCGCAGCAGGCTGGGTGGGGGGTGCTCTGCCTCTTGGCTTCCAGAAGTCCTCTGTCTTACTTCAACTTGGGCCCCTGTCCTCAGTCTCCAAAGCCCGTAGCCTGGCATTTTCAAATCTCAACATCAGACCTCTGCTCCCGATGTCACATCTCCTCACTCTGGTGTCCCCCTGTCATAGTAAGAGACCCTGTCACTACATTGGACCCGGCAGAAAAGCCAGATCCTCTCCTTTTAGTCTTTACACTCAAAAGCTCCTGTCTGTCCGTGGATGACACGTGGACTCGTGGACTCCTTCCAGGGTGTTACTGCCACCATCTCTGGTGTGTTGATGTGGAGGTGGCTGAAAGAGCATGTCTTAGAATCAAACCTGCTCGAATCTTTATCGCTTGCTGGCCACGTAGGAGGAGGCGGCTTGCCGAATCCCCTCAGCCTCTTTCTCCTGCTGTCAAGGAGCACAGCCGTGCCCCACTTGCTGCAGACCTGCTAAGAGAAGCGCATACTGGACAGTGAGCTCAGTGCCCCTTTCCTTGTTCTATGAAAATATTTTTACATCTTCATTTAATCTTTGCCTAAACTAAATATAATCAGAGCTTAACTGACCTCTTGCCCTCTCCCTGCAGCCAGCTGACCTGGCCTTGTGTTCCGCTGTCACCAGAAAGACTTCCTGGCCTGGGAGGATGAGCTCAGTGTTGTCCCCCATCAAGTGTCATGGTGTAACTGTTATAGTAACGCCCTTGTAGAGGCAGGACGGGATGGAGGAGGTCACCACTGTCAGGGTGCTGGAGTTGCTTGGGCATCCTGGCTTTCCACTGTGGTCTCTTCGGACATGGCTCTGCTTGGCCTGCGGCAAGCAGATGGGCACCTTTCCTGGTTTGTCCCCTGGCTTTGCTCGGTCTCCCTTGCTCTGCTCATGTGCGCTGCTGGTGAGGAGCAGAGATGTGCGGGGAGGGTTCCAGGACACCTGTGCAGGACCCCAGTGTGTGCCGCCCCAGAGGTTAACCCCAGCTATGGTTTAAGTTCTGCCATCCTCAGAACATCAGCCTGAAGGTGGAGGTGGTGCCATCTCCCCATGAGACAGCTGAAGGAGCCAAAGGTGTGTGAGGCAGGGCAGTGAGCCCCATGATCAGGGACAAAGGTGTGGTGGGCACCCCATGAATGTTAGACCTGTCCCAGTAGGGGAGGGCAGAGTGACAGGGATAACTACAGTCTGTGACGCAGGGGGTGCCTTGAGTGTGTGTTAAGTGAATGTGTGATGATTAGTTGCCAAGGCAGCTAACCCCAAAGTCTAACCCCAAATCCAGACCCTTGGGCCACCCCATGTCCATTTCTTTCTCGCTCCTCTTTCAGTGGGGCTCCCTCATCAGGCGTCTTGGAGAGACGAAGGGGGAGGTGGAGAGACGAAGGAGGAGGTGCTCAAATCTCAGCAGTGTCATTTTCCCCCTGTGACTCTAGATTTTCCCTCTCCAAACCTCAGTTTTCTTATCTAACGTGATCCCCTAAAAGCTGTTGCCAGGCGTGAAGGGCTGCTCTGTGTGAAATGCCTGCAGTGGTCCCCGATGTTCAGTAAACTGTGTAGGTGGGAATGGCCACTGTCCTTTCTTGATTTGACATAAAGACCCCTCCCTTGTGTCATTCTCCCTACTCACGACAACTGCCTGACCCTTTCTCACAGCAGAAGGGTTCTCCCTGAAAACGAGCGAAATCCCCATCACCGTCCGCAAAGCCTAAGAGATCATACCGCAGCCCTAAGATGCTGAGGGTAGAATCAAGCCTGGACCAGAGGGACTGACTCCAAACTTCTGTCTAACTCAGATTCTTGGATCCCCTGACATTTCTATGGACTTCTATCCCTGCGGATGTCTGTAGAAATTTCTGTGCGGTCTTCAATGTGAACCTCCCTTGCCCAACATGTGCCTGGAATAATAGTTCACACGACAGAGAGGGTTCCCAGGAAAAACTGAAAACACTTGCGACGTCCTGGAGCTCTTTGGACCCCGGAGCTGACTAAATGGTACCTATGAGGAGCGAGTGGAAAATATGGGGAATGTTGAAACTAAGAAATGTATCCTAGTAAAAGACACATTGTCATTAACACCACTGAAAATTCTCCCTCTTGCTTGGGACACACTTGTCCTGTCCTTCTTGCCACTTTCTAAGGAAGTTCTGGAGTCCTCTCCTGAGTGTTTCTAGTTGCCCTGGTGTGGCTGCCTTGATGTTCTCAATCCATTCAAAACATTTACCTTTCATGGTCATTTTGACTTTGGGAAAGAGCCAGAAGTCTCACGGTAGCAGATCAGGTGAATAAGATGGATGAGGACACACAATGATATTTTTAAGAGCATGCCTTTCAGCTGAGTAAGGTGCCACATGCCTGCAATTCCAGCACTCAAGAGGCTGAGGCAGGAGGATCACTGTGAGTTGAAGGCCAGCCTGGGCTACATAATAAACTCAAGGTCAGCCTGAACTACACAGAGAGACCTTGACTCCAAAAAAAAAAAAAAAATAGCTTGCCTTTCCATTGGATGGTACTTGTCAGCAGCAGTCATGGTATTTATCACACTTCATAAAGACACTCATGAAAGAGGATTTCCAGAACTGCTTCAGGCACTAGCAAGAAGGATAGGTTCAAGTATGTTGGAAGTAAGGTAGGAGGATTTGAGGGGGTTTCATGACAATATGTCATTTACTGCAATTAAAAAATTTAAATACTCAGCATATATCTTGCTTTACAATTTTTTATTTTTTATTAGTACATTTTTACAAGTACATAACATTCACCATATATCTTGATCAAAAATCTATATGGGGTGCAAGGGCAAGAGGAAGAGGAGCCAGGGTATGGATGGGGTGGGTGGGAGACAGCTGATCCAGGGGTCCAGTATTGTGTTCAGCACTCTCTTGACTACTAGAATATTGACTCCTTGAAGGCAGGAACTTTATAATACATACCTGTGTCCCCAGCACCAGTCTTTTCAGCACAGAAGAAGGACTTGTTAGACACCCATGGAGTGGATGACCTGAAGCCCAGGCTTGGTGGGGCAGTCATGGAAAGGAAGTATAGGCAGCTGTCTCACACCCTCTTCCTCTCTCCTCATGTCTCAGTAAGAGGATTCCTACCTGCCACACAGACTGGCTTGCTCCAAGTTGAAAGATGATGCACTGATCAAGGTCCCCTTTCCAGGCCCCCTTTCCTGTTGCTGGGATACAGTACCCAACACCCACAACTTGATGCATGGTTTCAGGGGGTTCAGTGCATGGTCAGCTAGCTCCAAGTTTGGAACATCATGGCAGAAGGGCTTGGTAGAACAAAGTTGCTCACTTAATGAAGAACAGGAAGCAGAACATAGAAGAAGAGTGTCAAACAGGAAGAGGTCAGGGGCAAGATATGGTCTCCAGGGGTCACTCCCTCATGACTCACCCAGACACACCCCAAAGTGTGCTTCACTAATCTCCTAGGTGTCTTTCAAGCCATTCAAGTTGGCAATCAGGTTTAACCACCATAGACAGTACATGAAGGAAGGTGTATCAGAGGCTATGGACCCAATGTTCCCATAAACCTCAGTCTATGGATCTCAACAGTCACAAAATAGGAACATGGAGCAGGCTCACTGGGTATCTCTGAGTCTGGATGTGCAGCTCTGTGACCAGCCTGGGTGGGTGCTGAAAGGACAGCTCCCGGCCCTGGAGGAGCTGCCGATCGGATGGGGAAGGGATGATGGTTTCCCCACTGCAGTCCCACCTGGCCTTGACTACACCTCTGGACTCCTCTGGCCTTGACTCTGCATCTCCGGACTCGTCTGCTGAGGGATTTTCAGCAGATTGCTCTCCAGTCCAGAGGGTGCAGCTGGGATTGCTGGGTCCCCCAAGACTCAGGACCCTATGCTTGAAAATCTTGGAGAGATGAAGGACCGGGTCTAGAGGAGGCACACACTGATGCCTGGCCTCCAAGGACAGCACAGGGAAGATCCAGCAGAGCAACACCCAGGCCTCCAGCTCCCCCAGCCCTTGTCAGAGGAGCCCTGGGTGTGGGGAGACCCAGGCTGCAAACTCCGGGCCAGCAAGGGTAGGCTGCCCCAGCATTGGGGCGGTGCCCCCAGAGGGGCTATTCATCGGCCTGGGTGAGTGTCAGGTGCATATGTGCGGTGACCTGTCTCTTTGTGTTTGTCTCTGGTGTGTTTCTATCCCAGATTCCTACTGCCTTTATTCTGGTGTGGGTGTGTGAGTGGGCACCTCTGATGCCCACTCTGATACTGGTGCCTCTGATACTGGTGTGGAAAATCCCTTTGTTGGTGGTGTCACTGGCATGTGCCTTGAGTGTGAGTGAGTCACTGGCTCAGCAGTCAGAGTGGCTTTGTCTCGTGTGTCCCTGGGGGTGTGTTCCCATCATGGTCCTCTTGTCTTGCGGATCCTCCCCTGGCCCTTAGCACCGCAGGGTGTGTCTTACCTGAGCTGCGGCCCCCTCTCCCTAGAAGGTCAGCTCCCGGAGCACAGGGACCTTGTTCTGGTCTTGAGCCCGTCCCTAGCACCTAAGCAGTTCCGGGAGGAGCGAGCGGGCTGTACAGTAGCGTTGCGTGAATGAGTAGCGACTCCGAAGTGCAGTTTCTCCGGGAAGCAGTTAATTTCCGCATTACTCTGTGGATGCACGAGGCTGTGTGACAATGAGAACCGCTGATGTGTGTCATCGACTAGGAATGTGTGCAAACATCTATGTGTCTGTGTGTGCAACGTTGCCCACGCTGGTGCGTAAACCAGCCTGTGTGTGTAACTAGTCTGCGTGTGCCAGAGCGTTTCTGCATCTCTCACGTGTTTGATGTAATTGGTGTGTGGCGCGAACCTGTGTGTGCTTGCAATGTGTTGGGGTGTGTGTGTGTGTATGTGCGCGCGCGCGTGTGCACGCACACGGTTCCCAGCCCCAGCTCTGCTCGCGCCCTGCGCTCCTCCTGCAGGCGGGAGTGGAGGGTGAGCGGAGGGCACTGCGGTTCGGTCGCCCGCCCTCTGCGCTGCGGCTCCCGCGCGTCACCTCCCTCCCCGCTCCAGCCGCCGTCCCGCCCCCGGCTCTTTGTAGCTGTCGAGTCGCTGGC